TTTACCACCTGCTGTTTCACTTCCCCAAATGACCTCAATAGTTGTGGTTAGGGCAGGCTGAAGCCCAGAACCAGGAACTCCATGTGGGACTCCCATGTGGGTGGCAGGAAGCCAAGTAAAGGGACCTTCCTAGGCCCATTACCAGCGAGTTGGATTGGAAGCCAAGTAGCGGAAACTCAAAGCAGTGCCCAGATAAGAGATGCCAGCCTCACAAGCGATATCTTAACCTGCTGTGCCACAACGCTGACCCCTAGCTTGCATTTTATTACACTTTCTCACTTTGCAGCCTTTGATGAATCTGGTGGCCTTGTTGGAGGGGCCTAGGTAGGAAGCAACAGAGGGAAGTGTTCAGGTTAGAGCCAGTTAGGAACTGAGGTCCTCAGTCCAACAGGCTACAAGAAATTAAATTTTGTCAAAACTGTAAAGCTGAGAAGCCTTCCTTAGACTCTAGCTTTTAGGCAAGACCATTGCTCAGGCTAGCACACTGACTGCAGCCTTGTATGAAATCCTGCAGCAGAAGACCCAGCCAAGCCTTACCTAGAACCACGCCACAAGACACAGTGAGATCCTGAACATTGTGATGCTTCAAACAGTTAACTCTGATGATTTGTCACAAAGCAAGAGAACCAATAAAATGATCTCAAAATCAAAAGTACAAATATTCAATAGTTCCATTAAAGTGTTCTCAAATACATTATTGTAGTGTGTGAATTATCGTCTGTATATTATAATTTTTAAACATAAATTACGGAAGCTATCTCTTGGGAGAGTATTCAATTTCTCACTTTTTAAAAATTTACATGAAATGTAAAGTTAGCTAAGATCATTTGTAAATTCAAGCCAATTTGAGAATTAATATTTTGGAGTTGATGCAATCTGAAAAAAAGATGGAAACACATCTCATTTTCTAAAAGCCATTATTTTGCCACATAGTCTCAAATGCACTGAAATCAGAATATCTCCTCAAAGGTTACTTATTTTATCAATTACTCATGTGTAACATGCCATCATTTAAGTTAAGATAACACAAAGATAATGCAATAGCTGAAGAATTATTAGGAGAACATGACTTGTAAGGGGGTGGAATCCTATTGGTAAAGTTTGCGTATTTGTCCAGTGATTGATCAAGGGAGCAGCTCACATATGGCTTACAAACAAGCTTGGCTGGCCTAGGCATGCACAGTATACTCTATTTCAGAATTTGGAAGAAAAACAAAAATTGTCACTGGTAAGACTGCCACTAGCAAAAAATTAAAAAGAAAACAAAAATAACCCTTTATAAAATATAAATTATACTGTTTTCAAGATCTTTGTGGGAATTTTATTACATACAATAGGAAATGACTAGAGAAAAGAAATGATAACAAAGTAAGTTTTTTGCCAAAGTGTGTATAAAAATAAATCTAAATTTATAAGTATAATATGCATTTGTATTATAGATTACAGACTATAGATTACATTTGAAGGGATCATTTTTATTGTGCAAATGTGTTATTGAATTTAAGGAAGGTCAATCCTGAAAAACAGATAAAATAAAGGATAGTGAGAATATGTTTTTAACTTTTCTAAAACTTACTACTTTTTGTCTTCATTTGATATAAAATGTATTTTATATGAACAAGAAGCAGCACAATAGAAACAGTAAATAACATACAAATAGTCTGCATCTTTTCAAGATGGCTGCTTGCCTCAGGCAATGTTATGCTGAGAGCATTTTATACATACTAAATTAGAGCTATAGGATCTTATTCAAAATGGTATTTAGAAAAAGAACAAAAAACTATTATCTGCATAATTATTTTTAGGACAAAATAGTACTATTTTTTGATAAAAATATCTAAAAGAAGATGTGGTTTTCCAGATTTAAAAAAAAAGCACATCTATGAAAATCATTATTTTCCCATTATACCCAAATAGAATGTTTCCTACACCCACATGTTCCTATGAGAAAAGTAAGAAAAATATTCCTTGCCATGTATGGAAATTTTAATCAAGGAAATGATATTAGCTAATTTTTGTGATTAAAGGAAACTTGGATATATTTGGAGAATGGGTTTAGCAGAGACAAAACAAGTAGCAAGTCCTATATTAGGGATTTGCTGGTGAAGCTCAGGAGATAAAAAAGTCATGTTGGAATTTTTAGGGCCTTCAAGTTATCAAGGCTCAGGAGTTAGATACTGGTAGTTAAAGTATTTGTGCAATGGGAATATTATAATAAAAGCAATAATATAAATCATTTGTTTAGTTTACTACATGTCAAACATGGTGTTACAGAGCTAGCTAAACATATTTGATCTAAGTTAGCCACAGGTCAAAGTAATGAAAGCTTTTTGTCTTTTTAACTCCTTTCATATAAGAGATGTAAAAATCAAGACTATGGAAGTTTGTTGGGTCATTTTGTGCTGCTATGAGAGAGTGTCGCAGGCTGGTAATTCATAATAAATGCAAGTTTATTGCCTCACAGTCTAGAGGTTTGGAAGTCCAGGTCTACAGGTATGGGTCTTCTTGCTGCGTAATCCCAAGGTGGAAGGGCAGAGAGGACCAGAGAGAGAGAAGAGGAGAGAGAAAGAGAGCAAGCATGGAACTTCCCACAATTAGGAACCTACTCCCACAACAGTGACACTAATCTGTTCAACCTCATGGCCCAATCACCATCCCTCCACCTTCCCTTACATTGGGAGTCAATTTCCAACCACCTGGGTTCTGGTGGGGGCCACATTTAAACCACAGAATTCTGCCTTTGGCCCCACAATTCATGTCTTCCTGACACACAAAGTGCATTCATTCTATTCCAATAGCCCTAAAATCTTAATTCATTCTAGTGTCAGCCCAAAAGTCCAAAGTCCAGAGTCTCATCTAAATCACAAATGTGTGAGGCTCAAGGCATGATTCCTGCTGCAGTGCCCAAGCACTGAGTTAAACTCTGTTATCATGTTTTTCCATGTCAGGGCAGCTGTTTTTCAAGATGAGAGGATCCTTTACCAGGTGGGTTTCTGTTTGAGCAAGGGCAATTGGGATAACATGCTCTAACCTGTGTTATGTATTTCCTTTGCATTTTAAGTCTCCTCCCAGGAGTGCTTTATCATTATAATGAAGCACAGTTTTGTCAGCAGTCGAGGTGGACACTTGAGTTGGTCAAAATTAACTTCTTTTTATCTGCCCAGTGTAAGGAGGTGGACTTATCTGTCCAGCGTAAGCACTCTGGCTTCTTAATTACTAATGTTAAAGACCTATTTCTTGCCATGAGAAAGTTGCGATATGGTTAACATTGGCCACATCAAGTTGCCTTTCTAATTGCCTAACCTTTCCCACTAAGCCTGCCTCATTATGACCCCGTAGTTTGTGCACTTCATAACTGCACAATTAGCATCATGTGGGCATGACTAATTTGTACTGTCTATACCCTCTAGAGTAGTTCTTGTGGGGATTCAGAACCCTAGCTGAGCACAAAAAAATCCCCAGCTAGATTTAGCCCAGGTTCTTGCTTCCCACTTGTAGGACTATAACCAGCAGGCATAGATACAGTGAGCAGAAAAGCAGCATTTATTGAAAAACAAAGGGATGGTGCACACTGAGAAGTGAGTTCAGACAACCTCATGAGTTAGAATTGCCCCCTCCCAGACTGGAGTTATCCAGATCACAGATAAAAGATTAAAGCTGGTGCTTGGGGCAGGGTCTGATTAATGTTCTAAGGAGGCAGGCTTTAGGGTGGGGTGGCTGTGTATCATGTTCTCCCGAAGCTATCATGGTGTTTGGTGCAGGATGGAAAAGTGAAGCTTAGCTCTATGAGTGAGTGTGCTGAGTCTTCAGCCATGTTGAATTGGCAAGGAAGGTGATGGGATTTGGGATATGCACAGGGCTTGGGTCTTGGCATTCCTTAGCTCCCTGCCCCTCCCTGACTCCCACCTACTCATATCACACTGACCTGAGCCACACCCAGGCCCACTTATGCCACAGTTGGGGTACCCAGGAGCACTGTGCCGGAATATGGGAGCAGTCTTTAGGCGCTCCTGGACAGTGAGCCCTCAGGACCCAGGTCTCTCCTCTGCCACTTTTCTGATTTATTTTCTTCCATCAGGCCGTGACATTCTGGGTCTGTCATGGAGAGGCAATGCCAGTGATCTTGGACCTGACTTGCCCCATTGTCCTGATGGATGGCCCCCGGCTTCATTCTGTCCACACTAATCTCCTTATCAAAAGTCATCTGGCAACATCTTCACTTTCCTTTACTGAAAATGTTCTTTCATTCTTCACCACAGGGAAGGATGAGAATCTTTTAAATCCTTAAGGCTAGTTTCCCTTTTAATTACAAATTTCATCTTTAAATCACTGACTTCTTATATTTTACGATGTGCAGTTAAAAGAAGCCACACAGCACCAGGAATGCTTGCTGCTTGGATGTGTCTTCCACCAGAGAGGTATCCTAGTTCATTATTCTTCAATCCTGCCCTCCACAAGGCCCTCACACCCAAATGCAGTTCAGCCATACTCTGACTTTCCTAACAGGGAAGACCTTGTTCCCAGTTTCTATTGCCTTTTCCCTCATTTCCACCTGACACCCACCATAACTGTTAGTAAAATGGTACAGTTTTATCTGTGCTGCCATCTTGGGCTCTGGCCCTGTCACCATTTTGTACAATAAGCTTCATTCTAAGCCCAGCCTGGCTTACTAGGAGTCAGGTGACCAAATGGCCCAACCACAAGTGTCAGCTCCACCCCCACCCTGACGAGATTTGCCGCTCCCACTTTCTTACCTCTGCAAAGCTATGTAAGACCTGTTCTCCCAGTACAGGCTGCTCTTCTCTGTGCACGGGGAGGCAGCCTGTCGGGTTTCCCCCATCTAATAATAAACCTTTTCCCTTACTCCGGTGTTTGGTGTGTTTTGTGCTGGCCTTACATTGATGCCGAAACCCAGGGCCAGACTCTCCTGTGGATCTTGCTCTCTCATGAGAGATGTGAGCTGCTTCCAGACCCTGGATTTCTGTCAACCATAAACTCACCCCTGGACTGCCTTCCTCGCCACTGAAAGCTCTTTGATCTCCATCCACACACTTGCCCTCCAAAATTCTGAGGTAAGACAGAGAATGGGGAATTCTTTCACAGCAACCTTTACCATAAGTTGTGGTTCCACTCTGCTTTGGCTCCAAGTCCTGGTACCAGACACCACAACCTTCTATGGGCTTTATGCCTTCCATGGGCTTTCTGTCTTACAATGGGCTTCATGCCTTCCACAGGCTCTATACCTTACCACGGGCTGTATGACATTCCATGGGCTCCATGCTCCAAGCCCTTCCATGGGCTCTATGACTTACCACAGGTTCTATGCCTTCCATGGGCTCTATGACTTATCACGGGTTCTATGACCTTCCATGGGCTCTATGACTTATCACGGGTTCTATGACCTTCCATGGGCTCTATGACTTACCATGGGTTCTGTGCCCTTCCATGGGCTCTATGACTTACCACGGGTTCTATGCCCTTCCATGGGCTTTAGACCTCAGTCTCCAGTGGGTGTATGGGTGATGACCCCCACTCTGTTCCTGTACCCTCCCTGTCAGACAGCTGTGATCTTGGGGATGCCCAATATCAGCCAGTCTGACTCCATGGGTCGCCGTGAGAACTTCCTCATCCCATGTTCGTCCAACCCTCCTCTCGGTTGTCTCCTACCTCCAAATAGCTCTGAGTTAACAGCCGAAATTGCCCCTCTCTCTTCCTAAACCTTCTTCCTCCGTTCTGCCACTCCGTCTCTTTTAACCTAGCCACCTTGGCATCTGTTCTGCCCTGCACAAAGGGGCCATAAAGCCTCTTGAGAAATTTCAGAAATCCCACACCCATATATCTCTATCAACCTATGTGAAATAATGATCAAGAGTACTGGACCTTCAAACCAGCTGGCTCAGCAGGTTAATTACTATTTCCAAACCTATCTCTTTTTCCAAAATTGCCCCTTATCTATCACCTATCATTTTTCTCAGGAATCTCCAGAGGGGTGGCCATCTGCTCTAATGGATGCCCTCTCCCATTAAATCTAACATAATGGTGAACAGTAACTTGCCAAACTTATTTTGCAATTTGTTTTAAGAGGTTTCTGATGATATGGGGCCTGTATTGTGGCTTAACAGGTAAACCCGCCACTTCAGTGTTGGTATCCCATATGGGCACCGGTTCATGACCCAGCTGCTCCACTTCCAATCTAGCTCTCTGTTATGGCCTGGGAAAGCAATAGAAGATGGCCCAAGTCCTTGAGCCCCTGCACCTGTGTGGGAGACCTGGAGGAAACTCCTGGTTCCTGGCTTCAGATTGGCACAGGTCCAGCTATTGCGGCCAGTTGGGGAGTAAACCAGCAGATGGAAGACCTCTCTCTCTCTCTCTCTGCCTCTCCTTCTCTCTGTGTAACTCTGACTTTCAAGTAAATAAATATATCTTTTTTAAAAAAGAGAGATTTCTGATGTTATAGCTATGGGTAATGCATTCTTGTTATAGCTCCTAAGGTGATTTTGTAGTCTCTGGGTTAATGTCACTGAGTTATAGCTAGAATTTTATAAAAGCAGTAGAATTCCACATGCATGTAATTTTGACCTTAATTCAGATAGAGATTTGGTGTAATACCAGCATCTTCACTCAAACAGATGTTATTGCTTAATGTAAATTCGGTGTTTAATGTAAACATTGGAACGCCTAATCCTTATATTCTATTGAAAAACTATTTGGGTTTGCTAACATGTTTTCATATGTTATCCATATGAAAATAGTTCAACACTACTTGAAAGTAATTAAGGTTGATATTTAATGTGCTATCTTATTTGGAAAATGTCTGAATTTAGAGATTTCTAAAGGTTATTTCAAAATGTAAATCAAGGAAATCAGCAGGTGGAAAGCAAAGGCTATTATTTGACATAGAACTAGAATCGGATCATGTTAAAGCAATGACGTTTTTATAATATTTTGAAATCATCTTAAAAATCTTTTTTAAAACCTGCAGCATCTCATTTTAATAGTTTTGTTTAATTGGTGGCTCTGTCAGTTTCTATCCAGCTCCAGTAAGCTATTTTCTCTTTCCTAGTCTGACTCTGTTAAAATTGCTCTAAGTAATAGAATATGATTACATGCACTAGCTCTTAAATTTAAGTGTTTTTTTTTTTTTTCTGATTTTTGGAATGACCAAAGAGACTTAGATTTTGTGTTCTGTTAAAGTAATCTAGTATGTTCTCTTAATGTGTCTGTTAAGTTCTGATAGTTTAAAACAGCTGAGTTTTTATTAAGAGTTATAGTTTGTTTAAATGTATGCTTATTCTACAGCATTTGAGTAATCACCTTGTGAAAATGATCAAATTTTGTCTATATTACGTCATGATGTTAAGGGATCCTATTTCTACCAGATATTTTAAACCTCCTTGGCATCCCTGACAGGCATTCAAAAAAAAAAAAAAATCAAAGTTCCAAATCCTTTGGACTTTGACATTTCCAGATGGGCCCTTGGAAATATCAAAGGATATATGTCTCCCATCTTGAAGAGACACCAGGCTATTCGGATTATATTATAGGTACTGTCAAGATGCAAAGTGGTGCTAAATTTTAAGTTATGATAATATAAAATGCTATTGATAGAAATGTCCAAAAGTTAAAAAGTCTAATGATCTTATGGTACCAGACATGATGGTTATCTTAATGAGAAAGGCCCAGAGGCCTCACAGGGAGAATTTTTTTTTTTTTTTAATTCTACCATAGACTTCTAGTTTAGACCATCACAGATTAGAGATGGAACTTGAGCACCCCCTTGACTTGCATCCTCTTAAAATTGTCTTCTGGTGTGATTTAACAAAACCAGAAGGAAGAGAAAGAAAGCTAGGCAGCAGAAAAATGCAAAGATAGGTGGCAGGCCAATTAATGGCTGTTCTACATAGTGATCTGCCATCAAGGAGACCCAACAAGCCAGTCCACTGCACTGGTTTATATGGAAAGCCAGGGCTTAAGCAGAAGTCAGCTTGTGAAAAGTACTGGCAGCACTGCCAACCAAAAGTTGGCTCACTGAAAAAGGAAGTGCCCTGGAGTCAAAAGATGCCCGGGTCAGAGACGCAGATCCTGTTGGTTTTAAGGTGAAAAGCCCTTCACTCTGCCCAGCTTCCAAAGTAAACACCACTGCTGAGGGGACGGCCAAGTAAAGTCAGCAACGTGCAGGCAGAACTGTAAATTTCCTCTTAGAGATACCACCTGCCTTTACAGGCCAGCTAGGTACTGGAAGTCAACAGGGTGCCTTCCCCAAGGAGGTTCACACTTTCTTGGGTCTGGGCTTCATGACTGGCAAGGCCTTAAAACCCACCTGATTACTATCAAGCTCCTTCAGTCAGTTTCTATTTACCTCTCAATCAGAAAACTTATTCATGGTTTAGAAAGAACCTTTCTTAGGTCCTCTAATAATGTCTGTCCTTTATTTTAGACCCTGTCTAGGCCACTTGGGGCCTCGTCCTTTGTAATCATACCCTTTATTCTTACATCAATGGCTCCACACCCAACCAGTCTGGATTGATCGTACTCTTCCCCCACTTAATGTATGATCATTCAGATTTTTTCTATAGACAAACCCCCCTACCCACAAGAGACAAGTGACCAGTTTTGGTTGGGATCAGCTTCGCAGCCTCCCTCTTCTCCGTAGTGATGTCAAATACAGCTTTGGACCACAATGTCAATTCAACCAGCTGACTCTAAAACAACTCCAACAGTTACAAGAGGAGGTCACCAGGTCCATTGAGACCTCAACCAACACCATCCGAGGAAGTGATAATGGAACAAACCAAAGCCTTCACCAACCAGGCAGTCAACCAAATATTACTACAGGGATATACTTGGCTGTCCACCTAGGACATCACGGCTTTAGACATCGCTCCTTGCCAGTGGAGAATAACTTGTCACCCCATGTAGCAGAAAGCAGCTCTAGAAGACAGAACGTCATCCCTCCATCCCTCCTGGACTTGTGGGGCCAATGTAATCTCATACAACACTTGCTTTATGAAAGACAAAAGGGGGGAATGTTAGCAAAATGGTAAGGTCTTATCTGTGGTGTCGTCTTAGGTTCTGACCCCCTCACCATTCTGTACAATAAGCTTCATTCTAAGTCCAGCCTGGCTTACTGGAAGTCAGGGGACAAAATGCCCCCAATCACAAGCATTAGCTCCACCCCCACTCTAATGGGTTTTGCTGCCCCCATTTCCTTACCTCTGCAAAGCTATAGAAGACTTGTTCTTTCAGTGTAGGCTGCTGTTCTCTCGTGTGTGGGGAGGCAGCCTGTTGGGTTTCCCCCACCTGACAATAAATCTTTTCCCTTATTCTGGTGTTTGATGTTTTGTGGTGTCCTGACAATAATGGCCTTTATCATCCAAGGTTCAACCCTATTGGGGTCACAACCACTAAATCATCTCTAAGAAGTTCTTGGCTCTCCCTTCAGCTTTTTCTCCTGAGGTCCTAAATACTCTGCTCATGGCTATTCATACTTTAACCAGCATCCACTTCAGAATAGTTTCACCCTCCCCAATCCCCCAGTTCGCACATGGAGATATTTGCCATAGTCAAACTTCCACTTCTATCTCCCATGTTGTGCCTTAGTCCATTGTATAACACTATAACAGGATACCACAGACTGGGTAAATTTTAATCGGCAAATTTATTGGCTCATGGTTCTGGAACCAAGAAGTACAAGATCAAGGGGCAAGCATCTTCTTACTTCCTCATGGTGGAAGGGTTAAAGAGGGTACAGGAGAGAAAGGTGAGTAAATTTTCCCTTTGTAACAAATTCCATAGTGATGAAGCCTCTCCTGAGAGAATAGCATGAATCCATTCACTCTACCCCCATGACCTGATGACATCTCCCTAGACCCTTCCTCCTGACAGTACCACAATGGAATCAGACTTCCAACACATGAAGTTTTGACATCATACTGCGATCCGTAGTTGGTACATTCCTGCTTAAATCTCTATGATGCCGACTAAACTAGTTTTTTTCTATACAAGTTTACATATGTTCATATTTAAATGTATTTCCCATGGTCTATGTATGTTTCATGCCATAATTTTCAGATATTTTATATTGTTATTATAAAATGTCAAAAAACAAAAAGAAAAAATTTAGAATACTTATAGCCTATAGCATGCTTAGAGTATGCTAAATTTTCCTTTCCTTTCAGTCCATTTATTATTTTGGAAAATGATTTCCTATAATGACTGATTCTTCCTTTCATTTTGAAATAATACGTCGAGGGTAGTTTGGAATTGATAGGCATTTTTTTAGACC